AAACATCGCATGAAATTCATGTGCATATTTTTGGCTTTCATTGTTCAGCTTTATTATTTGTATAATAAGTTTGCTCTAAGTAGATTGATAGTAAGAGAGACTTGCTAGGATAGTGAAAATATACCAAAGGTGTGGTCCCAAGGATTTATCTAAGTTCATGTGAATTTGTCTTCTTTTGTAGAAATTAAGTTCTTCTATAGAATTAATTCATTTGCCAAATGTTACTGTTCATTTTCCTTACTAGAAGTTACCTTCTTCAAATTGACCAAATGAAACTATTTCTCAAGGGGTGTTTAGCATTTTTCTATTCCTAAATAGTGTATTGGCCAAAAAAAATCATAACTAGTGTATTTTATTTCATGGTGGCACAACATTTCTCATATGTTCTAAACAACAATTGACAATTGTAACACTTGCCCCAATGTTATCCAAAATTATACAATTGAAACAAACTAAGTGTGGTTAAGGAGTTGATTCTAAACCACTTAGGAAACAAACTATTTAAACACCAAACAATCTACGCAATAGCAAGACACACAATTAATTAATTTTTTTTTTAGAAAAGTATGAAGAATTATGGTATAGCGCACGGAAGCAAACTAAGCAAATAGGGACATTTAATTGCTGTCATGATAGCATTAATCTGCTGTCATGATAGTCCTCCCGAGCAAAATTCTAGGAGGCGCCAATTCACAGTTTGGCCTCCGATTGAAGTGATTTTAAAGCTCACACGTCACTTTAAATATGTATTAATAGTTTTCTAAATTTTTAAAAATATCCAACGGTCAGATTAAAACTTGAACACGTTACAAATTTGGTCATTTTTGCTATCATGATAGCATGACAGCACCTCCAAACTAACTTTCGAAGTGCATTATTTCATCATCCGACCTTTGATCGGAGTGATTGAAAAGCTCACATGTCACTTTTAAAGAGTACTATTAGAATATCAAATTTTAAAAAGATCCAACGAATGAATTGAAATTCATGCATGTTGTAACATCAACACTGTTGCTGTCATGATGGCACTTTTGTTGTCATGACAACTCCTCCGAACTAAATTCTGGAGTGCGCTGTTCCTCCATCCAGTATCTAATCAATGTGATTCCAAAGCCTATACAAAGCGTATAAAAGGTTTTACTTGTGACCCAAATTTTAGAGAAATCCAACAGTTGGATTGAGATTTGAACACCCGGATGCAAAGTATAGTTTTTTTAGTAAAAATCATTTTAAAATTGTCCAAATCCTATCCTAACGGTCTCAAACCTATGGAAACACTTTGGACATGTCAAATAGGACTAGAAGTACCTAATATAACATTTAAATAATGAAAAAACTCCTTATATCAAATTTTGACTACCCGAGTGCCATTTTCCAAAATGAACTCTATGCCCCTAAAATTTACAAATCACACAAGAGTGGCTAAAAACTATTCCAAATATTATATACACATATGAATACACACGCTAAACATTTTCACTTGGCTTAGAGATCTTCATAGGGTCCACACACCCACTCTCTCTATTCAAGGTATATGTTTGCCCATAGCACACCATTTACAATGCAACCACTTTACATTTGCTTGTAGAATCACATATATATCAAAATAAATATTTTCTCTGTAGTAGAAACTTGATCTACTAAATAAATCTATCAAAACCACACACCATAACCAAGTTTCCTAGCCACAGTCTACAAGCAGACAAAAAGTCATACACAAGTCATACAATCCACACATATTCACACACATATATATACATAATCACATCCTATCTGGCACTCTAATCCTAAATACATTACAATTGATTTGCTCAAAAGAAAGGGGTTATAGTTCTTTAGAATTCACAAACAACCCCTACCTCTGCTCCTTTCCCCGTCCACCACTGGTTCCTTTGCCTGGACCTAGAAATATTGAAAAGAGAGGGGTGAGACAACCACAATCTCAGTAACAGAGAAATTTACATTAATTATTACCAAGTAAGCCATAATCAAATAAACAAATAATATAATTTAGTCATTTCAAATGCATGAATGCATGACATAAGCTAATATAGCCTTTCCTGACCAACAAATGTCCCCTGGCACTCTTTAGCTCACAGGTAGACCTTATACCCACTTGTACCTTTATAGGCACAAAACATAATCTAAGGCATGATTGAATCTACCAAACTACTTGTGTCCCTTCAATGTGAATCCTGAACAGTCAAAGCTAACTCTCTCTTAGAGCCAGCTTGACTTACTTTCCACGTGAGGGCTATCTTGGCTTAGGCACTCAACCTCATACTTCATATGTCGAATTCCCTCCCTCACTGAGAGGTATTGAACACTCAATCCACTAATCACTTTAGTACACTGGGCCCACAATACGAAAGGCAACACTGAGTACTGGCAGTGTGCCATAAAATATCACAAGTTCATATCTCCACATTGGTGAACTCCCACCGAGATCATGCCTTTCACTCTTGTCTACCTTTCTTAAGTATTGACCAATTCAATACTCTAAGGTAGTATAACAAATATCACTCCTTCTTTAAGCAGTTTCTTAGCCTCTCTAAGATACCTAATCTAATTACACTTTCTCAAGTGCAACTGCCATTCTCTATAATTACAATGCATGCAAACAACCTCATTTCTATAAAAACATTATTGTCAAATGAATAGAAAACATATATGCACTATTATCTAAGTAATACCCCATAAGTCTTTATAAAACACAATTAATTGCATTTAATAATTTAAAACATGTAATGCATGATAGCTAGTAATATTTATTCAAAAGTAGCTAAACAAAGCAATAAGAAATATAAATTTCCCTGTTACCTCAACCCTTTCATACTAAAATGGTTCCTCTTGTACAAAATAGGACTTGACTAGTTCCTTAACTTCTCAATAAGTTCCACCAACAATTCCCTACAACATATAACTGATCCATATCACTTTTCATGGCAAATAACATTAATGAAGACTATAACTCATACCATACAACTTGGGTCAATAAGCCATAATCCATCCCAACAGTTCATATATTAAACCAACCATTCACATAATACTACTTAACAACCAAAACCATTTATTAGCCACCACTAGGCCAATTTTCAATTCATATATTTTTAATCAATTAAAAACCTTCACTTAGTGTCAACAACTTTCACCATTAACTCTTATAATGAAAACCAAACCTTAATTTAAATCTTATGGGGCTCAAGTAGCAAAATTATAACTAAATCAATAGGCTTAAACTATTTAGGAGCAAAAACCCAACCCTTTAGGGTTTGACTTTTGCCCTAAAACTTTATTTTTCATCCAAATGCCTATTCAAAATATTAGGGCATCATGTAGAAACTCAAAACAATCTCCCAAGGACCCAAGAAAACTAAAGCTTATAAGAATAAAGCCTTTTGGATCAAATTTTAGAAATTTTTCCCTTTAAAAATTGAAGAAAACCAAGAGGAAAGGAAGAGAATTGAAGTAGGGAGTTTACCTATTATGTAGCCGAGCTCACAACGGTCGTAGAGGCTCCTAAATCCAAGCCTAACTCCCTCTCTTCCTCTTTTCTTCTTCCTCTCTTCCGCTCATTCGTGCATTTCTTTCCTTTGTTTTTATTTTCATCTCTTGCGTTTATTTTTCCCTTTTAAAAACTAATTTAAATAATTTAGGAAAAATTACAAGAAAGGGCCTAAATATTTTGTTATAACACAAAAGCCCAGTCAATTTTGATAATTTTCCATAATTAAAAAATAAAATAAAACTAAACTTTTGCTGAGTAAAATTCAAACTCTAAACTTCTATCAAATTATTCTTAATTTTAATTTAATTATAGATATTTTATTTTTTAAATAAATCTGAATCTTAAAATTTTCAAGATGTTACATTCTCCCCTCCTTTAAAAAGGATTTTGTCCCAAAATCTAAGCTAATTTATGAATCAAAGAGAGAAACATACTAGGGAAATAACTGTGGATACTACTTCCTCATTTGATCCTCAGTCTCCCAGGTTGCATCTATCGAAGTTGTCACTTTCTAGATCACTTTTATCAACTGGATTGTCTTATTTCCAAGCTGCTTACCCTTAACATCCACAATATGACCTGGTTCAGTTCAGTAGTTAAATTCTCTTGAATTTCAAACTCCTCAAGTTCTATCATATGCGACAGGTCTGGCTGGTACTTCTTCAGCTGTGACACATAAAACACATTGTGTAGACCCGTTAATTGAGGTGGTAATGCCAACTGATAAGCTACCGGACCAACTTTCTTCAAAACCTTAAAAGGACTCATATATCGTGGAGACAACTTCTTAGCCCGAATTAAGCGTCCAACGCCTGTCAATGGGGAAACCTTGAGAAATACGATCCCCACCTTAAAAGACAAGTCCTTATGATGATTATTTGCATAATTTTTTTGTCTACTTTATGCTATGAGAAACTTTTATTAGATCAATTTGATTTTCTCTATAGTCTCATTTACCACATCCAGTACCATTAGTATCCTCTCACTCAACTCATACTAATAAAGAGGTGATCTGCACCATCTGCACCGTCTTCCATATAGTGCTTCATAAGTAGCCATCTAAATACTGGCGTGATAACTATTATTATAAGCAAACTCTGCCAGAGGCAAATGCTTATCCTAGCTTCCCTGAAGCTTTAAAGAACACGATCTTAACATATCCTCTAATGTCTGGATCGTTTGCTCAGTCTGTCCATCTGTCTGTGGATGATAGGATGTACTAAACTTCAGATCCGTGCCCATAGCCCTTTGTATAGCTTGCCATAAATTTAATGTAAATCGAGGATCACAATTTGAAACAATATCCCTTGGTACCCCATGTAATTGCACAATCTCCTTAATGTAGATCTCAGCATACTTATCAACTGTATAGGTAGTCTTGACTGATATGAAATGTGCTGACTTAGTCAAACGATTTACAATTACCTAGATAGAGTCAAAACTAGCCTGGGTTCTTAGTAGACCAAATACAAAATCATTAAAATACTGTCCTATTTCCATTTGGGAATCTCCAGAGACTGTAATAACCTTGATGGCTTCTAGTGCTCTATCTTGACCTTTTGATAGGTCAAACACTTACTAACATACTCTATGACATCCTTTTTCATGTCTGGCCACCACTAGTGACGCTACATGTCATGATACATCTTAGTAACATCGGGATGAAGGGTGTAGCTATTACAATGCGCCTTATCCAACAATCACTTTCGAATAGACTCATTGTTGGAAACACACACCCTATCCTTAAAAACCACATATCCATCATCACTAAACCAATAGTCTATTATCTCACCATTCTCGATGTCTTGACTTATTTTTAACAAAACTGAATCTTGGAGCTGAGTATCTCGTATCTCTTTCTAAAATTCATTAGAAATAACCATAGTCTTAAGGCCATTAAGGAGAACTCAGTCATACCTTGAGAAATCTCTACCAAAAACTCCATCACCATCAAACAGGCCACATGTAAGGTCTTGTAACTAAGAGCATCTACTACCACATTTACTTTCCTCAGATGATACTTAAATTCAAAATTATAATCCTCGTGAAACTCTATCCAGCGTCTCTGCCTCATGTTCAGCTCTTTTTGATCCACCAAGTACTTAAGACTTTTATGGTCACTTAAGACCCTGAACTTTATTCCATAAAGATAATGATGCTAGATCTTCAATGCAAAGACTACAATAGCCAACTCGAGATCATGCGTTGGATAATTCTCCTCATGCGGCCAAAGTTGTCGAGACATATATGCCACTGCCCTCTCATCTTGCATTAGAATACAACCAAGACCCTTATAAGAGGCATCAGTATACACGTCATAAGGCTTTTAAGGATCATGAATCACTAACACTGGAGCTATTGTTAACCTTTCTTTCAACTCAAGAAAAGCTATCTCGCACCTATCATCCTAGATAAACAGCCTATCCTTCCTTGTGAGCCTAATCAAAGGCATAGAAATTTGAAAGAAACCTTTAGTAAAATACGAATAGTAACCTGCTAATCCCATAAAACTATGAATATCTATAATCAATTTTGGTCTCTCCCATTGCAATACCACTTCAACCTTATATGGATCAACTACAATAAGATTTTCTAACACAATATGTCCTAAGAATCTAACCTCTCTCATCCAAAACTCACACTTACTGAGCTTGGCATATAGCTTATGATCTCGCTAAAATCTTAGGACAGTCCTCAAGTGTCTAGCATGTTGCTCCTTATCTTTAGAGTGGATTAGTATATCATCAATAAAAACTACCACAAACTGATCCAAGAAAGGCTGAAAGATGCGGTTCATATAGTTCATGAAAACTGCAAGCGCATTAGTTAGCCTGAATGGTATAGCTAAAAACTCATAATGGCCATATCGAGTCCTGAAAGCCGTCTTCGCCACATCCTTCTCACTAACCCTCAGTTGATGGTACCTTGAACGTAAATCAATCTTAGAGAAAACCGTGACACCAACCAACTGATCCAAGAGATCATCAATGTGAGACAATGGGTACTTGTTCATCACCGTAACCTTATTCAACTGCCTATAATTGATACACAATCTCAAACTACCATCCTTCTTCTTCACAAATAAGATAGGGGATCCCCAAGGAGAAACACTGGGTCTAATAAATCCCTTGTCTAACAGCTCCTCAAGCTGCTTCTTCAACTCAACTAACATTGAAGTAGCCATTCTATAGGGAGCCTTTGAAATTGGCTGTGTCTTTAGTACTAGGTCAATCGAGAATTCAACCTCACGCTTTGGAGGTAATTCTGACACATCCTCTGAAAACACCTCCAAGAACTACTAACAACCTCAATTTCATCCACTTTACCTGCCTTAGACCCTTAGGTAGCGAGCACTACCACATAAGCCTCACAACCCTGCTCAATCAACCTTTCAGCTTGCAAAGAAGAAAGAAAACAAGAATGACTAGGGTATTCATCATTACCTTTAGCATTTCTGCTAAAGTCACAGTCTTAGCCACATAATCTAAGACAACACCATAAGCTATCAGCTAATCCATACTAATGATTAAATCAATCACTTACATAGGTAATTTGATCACATTCACCCAAGTCGATTGCCCATTAAAATTCATCTTAGTCCTACACAACACACTAGATCGACCGACTAAACTAGAAGTAAAGGAAACATCTATATCATAAGGTAATTGCTTAATAAGCATACCCATTCTATCCAAGTGCTCGGTAGAAATAAAAGAATGTGTCGTACCATAATCAAACAAAGCTTCTAAATTAAGGCCACAGATAGAAACCATACCAGTTATCAGATTTGATAACTTCCTAGCCTCCTCCTGAGATACTGTATACACTCTACTGGGAATCACATTCCTCCGATCTAAGCTCTCATGTAAATTAAGGCAGTCACAGATCAAATGGCCTAACTTTCCATACTTGAAGTAAGTAAAGCAGCGACTATAATGAACCTTGTCACATCTATCGCAAGGTGACCTCACTATGCTCAAAATCAGGGCCTGACTAGCCTATGAAGAACGTGTTGGATAATCCCAGAGAAATGAGAACCCCCAAATCTCATATTACCACCTTGATTACCATGAAATCTTGAACCCCTATTTAAATTTTGATTACCAGAAGCAAAGAAGGCTAGGCTCTAAAGGAGCCACCAGAAGAAGAACCATAACTAAAACCCATTCTCTTGGATACACCACCAGTAAGAGCCAACCCAAAAGAAAAATGACCTCGTGTAGCCGTACTTTAGCTACTCTTTGTGTCTCGGTCACGGCGAGCGGCAATCCTTAAACAATTACACATCTCATCATATGTCACCTCACCTAACAAAGACAGCTGTTGGCGGTACTCTGGCCTCATCTTTTCCAATAACCTCTTTGCTTTCCACTTGCTATCATTAGAAGCCTTCAGATATGTTGTGAACTTAGATAGCTAATTGAATTTTCTCATAAAAGTCTCCTCATTTAAGTCACCCTGCTAAAACGCATGAAACTCTACCTGTTTCTTGTCTCTGAAAGCTGGTTGAAAGTAAAAATTATAAAATCTTTCCTTAAATTTGGCCCAAGTCATAGATCTTCCATCCATGGACTTAACAGAATCCCACCAATGCTTGGCTTCACCAACAAGCTACATCATAGCCAAGATAACCCTCTGCTTAGTTGTATACCTCATTACAGTAAATAACTGCTCCATTCGATCCAACCACTCCTCAGCTTTCCCATCAAGCATACAACTATCATATGTGGTTAGATTAGAGTGAGAGAATTCCTTCCAAGGTCCGGATATGTCATCCTCTCAATTATCAGCAACCGGTCTATGAGCTCCCACAATACTAAAAGCTCCCTACCCAGCACTTGGGTCAACATACTGATCTGGAACGGCACGACCTTTGAGGTTTTGTTGTATATCTACCATCACTTCAAGCAACCTACCCATGATTACATCTGTCCCTTGTGGTGGTGGTAGAGGCAGACAAAGTGGAGGTAGAGGTTGTTCCTCATTCCTCGGTCTGCCTCTTCCTCTTCAAGCTAAATTATAATTGAAAGATGTACAGTCATACGTGTACGAACCTTTCTCCC